CCCCCCACGCGTGCTGCAGGCTCCTCCAGGACAGGGCTCCCCTCCCCCTCCCCCTGCGCCTGCAGCAGCCTTCACAGCCCCCCGTCCCCGTGCAGCCCGCCCCTCCCCAATCTCTCCCTCCTAGTCAGGCTCCCAGCCTCCCCTGTCTTTGCGTGACCAATTTAGAGGGAGGAGGGGGACGATGCCGCCTCCTCTGCCTCCCCCTTACCTCTGATTGGCCGGCTGTGCCATGCCCATCAAATTGAGACCCGCAGCGGATTGGCCAGGCTGCCAGACCAGGAGAGGCTCGGTCCCCACAGGGCTCCCCTCCTCCCCCTTCCCTTCGCAGCAGTGTCCTCAGAAGACTCATTGGGCGAAGGGCCCCCCCGCCTTGGGTGAGAGCTGCCAGGGCACTCGCTGGCAGCCCTGCTACTCAGCCTGGCTGGCCTGGCCATAGGCTCCCTGGAGCAGTGTAGGCGGGGCTCTTCCCCCTCCTGTGACTAACTAAAGTCTGTGAGTCACTGCACAACCCATCAATCCCATTAAATGCCGTGTGCGGGCAGGCGGTGCTGCCTCTGCTGCTCCCTGCGCTGCCCCAGCCCCTGTGCATGGGCTGCCGCTGCTTCCCCCTCTGATACATGGCTGGCTGGCTGGACTTGTTACAGTGTCACATCCTCCCCGCCAGCTGCAGCACCAACTTCCCCCCCAGCTAGTCTCCTCCTGCCCGGGGCTGCTGCAAAGTGATGGGATAGAGCAAAGCCACTCCAGCACCTGGGCTCCTATTTATTACAGTCTGTCTCCCTGTCCTATTCCTTGGTTGTTCTTCTTCCTCTCTTCCTTTTCCCTTCTTTATTTTATTCCTCCCTTCCCCCTTGTCTTGGAGCCTAGATTTGTTGAGTTCTTCTGGAAAGGGTGAGTACAAGACATGGCCTTTCTGACTTAACATTTTTGAGTGGTACCCTCTTTTAATGGGAAAAAAGTCTTATATGGGGTTTGGGGTCTGCCTTGGCATGTGCTGTTTGCTTATTCAATAAAGATCTAGAATTAAAAAGAAAATGGGGGTGGGAGAGAGGGTAACATGATCGTTATCCTTTACTACTGCTACTTGCTGAAGGGGTCACTTATCTGTTGCAAACTGTTTAAAAGTTGAATTGATTTATTTAAAGTTAACCCTGACATGGATCAAAGATGATACTTTTTTCTCTCTCCTTCTCTTATTTTACTCCCTCCCCCTTACTCCCCTCTTGTCTGTCTAGATTTTTATTTTTTTTTTATTTTTATAAAGTACCTGTGATCAGTACAAATCCACATGAAATGGCTATAGATACATTCATTGTTTTGAAATAAAATCTTTTTTGAGATATATATACTAACTTTTGAAAGTAATTCATATTGAAATGTATTTTGATGGAGCAGTAGATAGCTCACTGTCCAAATCATACTGCAGTTCAACTCTTTGAAATTTTGTGTTGTGTGTATGTCCTTTTTATTAAAACGAAACTAGTAAGTAGTTGTAAGGTGTTTGAACCCACAACAAACAAGGAAATTCATTTGTTCTACCACTGCATCCTTACCACACTCTGATCTGTCTAGATATTTCAACACATATGGAATGTATGAGCCTTATGACTGAATCACAGGGAAATGAGTGTATCCAATTGGATTTTTAGCTTTCCGTTTGAATGTCCTTTTGGTGGACTAAACTCAGATTCAAAATATTAGTGTAAAATAGTTTGACCTGGAGTTTGTTTGTATTGATCGTTTAAATATATAATTAAAAAATGAGACTGGAGCATTAATTTGTGTTTTGTATAACCATAATATCCAAAGTTGCTAAAATGAAAAACTAAGTCCCAACCCCAACAAGTAGTTACAGTGTATCTCCAGAAGATACTTTCTAAGCCTCAGTACTTTACCTATGTATAAAATATTTTAAATAGCAGACTAATAACTTGCCACATTCAAATCAGGTAAATAAAGCAGTTTTGAATTGTGGTGTTTGGATGTTTACGCTCTTTTATTACAACACTCCAATTTTGTCTCTATCTCGTGGCTAAAAACAGTCACTAGAAATTTCCGCTAAACTTTGTTAAAATCAATGCCAGACTAAGATCTTGTACACCAAGTTCAACACTCCTTTAAAATATATATATTTGTAAATGAGAAGAAATCAAGATAGCTATGATTTCATTAGTCAGTGACTACTGAAATGAAACCCAGCGATTTCAGTGATTGTCCAGAGACAATAAAATTGGACAGGTGAGAAATTCATATGTTGTCATCCATGACATTGAAAAAGGAAAAAACTTAGATGGCTGAGATACTAAATTCAGAGCTTGGTAACTACTTTTTGTTAATTTTTTTTATTGTACATATCAGTTATGAGCCAAAATCATTGCTTGCATAACACTGTCAGACCCCGTGTACTTACAGCAAGCATGAATTTGCCCAATGTGTGTAAATCTTTTTAAAATATCTGTTACAGTTGCTCTCATAGGGCCCTTTTAGATATGGTCTGTTGAGTCAATATTCCATAGGTAGGGCCCTACCAAATTCATGGCCCATTTTGGTCAATTTCATGGCCATAGGATTTTTAAAATCATAAATTTCATGGTTTCAGCTATTTAAATCTGAAGTTTCACAGTATTGTAATTGTAGGGGTCCTGACCCAAAAAGGAGTTGTGGGGTGGTCACAAGGTTATTGTAAGGGGGGTTGTGGTACAGCTATCCTTACTTCTGTGCTGCTGCTGGCAGTGGCGCTGCCTTCAGAGCTGAACAGCTGAAGAGCAGCGGCTGCTGGCCAGGAGCCCAGCTCTGAAGGCAACGCCGCTGCCAGCAGCAGCGCAGAAGTAAGGATGGATGGTATGGTATTGCCACCTTTACTTCTGCGCTGCTGCTGGCGGGGTGTTGCCTTCAGAGCTGGGCACCTGGCCAACAGCTGCCGCTCTCCAGCTGCCCAGCTCTGAAGGCAGCGCAGAAGTAAGGGTGGCAATACTGCGACCTCCCTAAAATAACCTTGTGACCTCCCCCTCCCCCACAACTCCCTTTTGGGTCAGGACACTCAATTTGAGAAACGCTGGTCTCCCCCATGTAATCTGTGTAGTATAGGGTAAAAGCACACAACAGACCAGATTTCATGGTGGGAGCCCAGATTTCACGGTCCGTGATGTGTTTTTCATGGCTGTGAATTTGGTGGGGCCCTATACATAGGCCTGTTTCACCTCTCTGGAACCAGTTTTTATACTAGTGCACCTCCAATAATTTTAATGGAGTTACTCTTCATTTACATCTGTATGGGAAGAGATTAGAATCCAATGTTTTCAAAAAGCCTCCAAATACTTACATGACAAACTGTGATTCCAACTCTCATCCGAGGCAGTTCTGCTACTGTTACTCACACTGAATGATATTTTACTACATGAGTAGTCCCTTTGATCCCGGTGTGACTACTCACATGCTAAAGTACCAATCAGTGTGAGTAAGGGTGACAGGATCAGGCCCTTAATATTTATTTTTTTCCTTGAAATAAGAATATACTGGATTACTGATATATTTCTTGGGGTCATGGCAAAATTTTCTGAGAACTAAGCCTGAAGTTATTCTATTAAATGATTACACCAGAAATAACTGTTTAATATGATCCCTATGCTACAAATGAAATAAGCAAGCAAGTAAGTATTCTGGGTGTTTCTCTTGATGCTGTGGAAGGTAGAAAAAGATTGTTGTGAAATTCAGTATCTTGTAATGAAATTCTGTGCTGGAGAGAATTTTGAAAATGGAAGGTCTTGTGGGAGGCAAGTTGATAATGCAGTGTTAGAGGTGTTTTTTTACAATATGACATGAAGAATTTTATTGTTGATTTCAATGGGCACAGAAGCATTTCGATAGTCTTTGTTAGAGTATTTGATGTTATAGGAAGTGTTCACAACACTACTCCTCTGACTGACTTCTGTCTTAGTAGAAAGACCTGTGTTAAACAGACTGTTAAGAAGAAAACCTGTCAAGTGAAGTGGTGTTGTGTCGTGCCTTGATGCATTACATGTACTTTTTTATAAATTTCCTGAAACTTGTATTGGACACGCTCAGGATGAAAGACAATTATTTCATGTTTGTTTCATGTTTTCACTTCCTTTTATGACTGTATTCATTGCTACGCTTTTGTGTCACTGATTGCGATATTATTGTAATTAACATTAATTATGCAAACTAGATTGTTTTTAGAGGTTCTCCCACTCTGTACTGATACTGTCATCTTGTCTGTTTGTTAAACAAGAATGCATACATTTCAGGATGCTGGAGGAACTACAGCTCTTAATTACAAAATAGTATCTGCATGGGAAACAAAAGCAAATACCACTTTTATAGGGTGACCAGACTGCAAGTGTGAAAAATCGGGATGGGGTAGGGGGGTAATAGGAGCCTATATAAGAAAAAGACCCAAAAATCGGGACTGTCCCTATATAGTCGGGACATCTGGTCACCCTACACTTTTAGCTCAAACATTTTGTGAAATTTTTATTTGACAGCACTGCTTAGTCACACAATTTGATCTGAAATAATGAGGCACAGTAAACAAGGATACAAAATGGACAGTAAGTATAGTGGCTGTGTAAAGAGTATATAGACTTTAGAGTTTCACCATCTTCTTTCAAGATAGACAGGATTATTGAGTAAAATCTGCAGTCCTTATTTGAATAAAGTTTCCATTTAAGTATGTGAGAATTTTTTGCCTGCTTAAGGAAAACAGAATTTGGCAGGTAGTAAAATGCTAGCTTTGGCAAAACAAGCTGATGGAACAGGCAACTTTTTGCTTAATTCTTCTTTTTTTGTTTTTTTTTTTTTGTTTTTAATTTTTGCTTTGTTGTCTCTAAAAACCTCCACATCAACTTGAAGGGTGATATTAGTTTTACACCCTAACTTTTCTAAACAGAAGTGCTCGTAGAAAAAATGATTAAAGTCTAATAATGTTTTATATAGAGGAAGTACAGTAATTATATTTGAATTAATTCCTTCAGATTGATTATAGTGAAATTAATAGAAATCTTTAAATCTGACTTTGAATTGCCCCTATGAAATACTTGAGAGCTGAAAGTGATTCATGTTAGAGTCTCAATAGAAATCATAATTGCAGGGATATTTGTGTTCTGTTTTTATATTCATAATATACTTACAGGAGAAATACCATGGCGGAGGGAGAATTTAAATTGGAATTCTTTTACACTGTCAACATTCTAAAGTGTTGGTGTATAAACCTACTGTAAGACATTAGAAAACGATTCCCAGTTTTCCTCTGACTTTCCGTACCAAATAAGCAATAATTTGTTTTCAGTTTGTATTCGATATTTGTCTTTTGTGCAAGACCGTCACAGTAGTTCTCTGGAATGTTAAAAACAGTACCTTGGGCTCTAACAAGTGGATGTTATATAATTAAATGGGAAGATTCCATAGTATTAGAAAATTACCATTTAGCAATGTAGTGAGTCTGTTAAGCTGTGGAAGTGATTTTATGAAAATCAATAAAATGCTGATTTTTCTTCTAATTGTAGATCCATGTTAAAAGAAAAAGATGCTATTTCTTGGTAGCATTTCACATTGGCTTGCTAAATAGTTGATTTAGAAAGGCATTCTCTTCAGTTTAGACAATACATGTAAAGATGATACATATTTTTTGCTTTTGTTTTTTTAAATCTTTATTTATTAGATTGCCTTCCAGAAATCACAACATGCTGGCCTGTAAGTGATTTCAGTGGGTCTGTCAGCAGAATCAAAAGAGAAGGTCACTTATTTTTCAGATGACATGCTGGCATGACATTGGTTCCTATTGTCTTAATGCTGTATATTCCTTCACTTCCAGCTCATGGTTCCATACTCATGCTCATGCTTTGAAGTGACTCAGGTGTATGGAAAGTTCC